GCAACCACGATTTGATGCAACGACCGGCGACCGGTGAATCAACAAAGCGAATCGGAGTTCTGTTACCTATTGAAAACTCATATGTTGACCCACACAAATACAAGATTGCACGGGTATCATAAAGACAGATGAACTCATTATGCATGCGGATTTCGCTGGTTCGATCGAAAATATGTTACAGAGAGATAGGTCACAGGTTAGTTATGATCTTTGATTTGGTTGCACACATGACAGAAACTATATTTCCCCAATTTGTAAACAAAACACTGACCAAACTGACTGACCTCAGGGTGTGATCACTATACGCAAGCACACACACGCGCGCACATAAATATTGGCAATTAGCAACATTATTCATGCAAAAATACAAATAGACTGAGGACAATAACTAACTTTGTTGTCTTCGTTGGGTGTGACTACGGTGGGGGTGGGTGAATCCACTGTTAACGCATCCGGACGAACGGGGAACGGTGTTGCTGATGGCAGAGCACCCGCGGATGGAGCGGCATTAGCGGCAGCAGAATTGGTCAGTTTGGCACCTGCAGACGAGCAAGCGGCCAATCGATCCGGATTTCGATTCAGCTCAAGCAGTTTCAGTGTGAGCAGTCTTGATAGATGAGGTTGTGTCACGAGTTCATGCTGAAATGAAAGATGGAAGAGGTGGGTGTCACTCATTGAAAGCAGACTCTGAATGAAAGTCCCCAAATCAACGGAATGTTGCTCAAACGGGACGCGACAGCCAGTACGGTGTTTAATATGATGTCGTTGAACAATTTTTCGCAATCGTTTGAAGCGATTTTCCAAAGAACGGGCAAAATTCGGAAATTGATAATTCTGCGCGATAAACTGCAAAGATTTCAAAAAGCGTGCATCATAGGATAGTATTTGATCTCGTAAATTAAAAGAGCTGATTCAAAAGTGAGGATCCAGTGTTTCTCCACTCGGAGAAATGGTAAGGCCCGGCCGAATTCACAGGCCCTGCGTTATCTCGAATCGTGAGGACAGTTGAGCACCGATTAACCATCATCACCACAACGATGAGCGCTTGAACGGGTGAGTGTAGCCCATCATAAAAGACGATACAATCCCACATTGACCGAGGTCCTTATTAGAAACGGTGCACAGATTACTGTAAAGCTAGCGGTCGGGGTAAGGAATGCGACGTACAGACAAATTGAGATCGATGAAAAGTGGCAGCTTCAAGCGCGGTAGACTGGATGCAAAACAATAGAGAAAGTTTCACGTGACATAACAAAGGACACAGCAGGCGACACGGTAACCTAACATTCATATAAGATGAATCCGAACAATCAGGACATCAATAACAGGATGAGGAGATCAAATACATCAAGGTACTGAGTTGGAGAATGCATACTTACGCGCAACAGAGCTTGAGCAGTAGGGCGTTTCTTTTCACTTTTTGTAAGGGCAGCTTTCAGAAAACTGTGAAATTTGGGAGACCTGTAGGAGAAAAACAAATTGGCGTGCACAATGATGTGAAATTTCTCTAGGTTTCTCAATGATTCTCAAGTTCTAACACCGAAGCATCAAGTATGTGAAAAATGTACAATGACGTGTTTTTTTTGTAGATCTGCACTGCATTCGAGAAGTTTAATTAGAGGTGAACACATTTATTCACTCAATAGTAGCACACTGGAGCCTTCTCAAAACAGTAAACAATACTTAGAAAAAAGTCAAAACCCTGGGTAAACTAGATTAACAAAACAGGTAACCATTACGTGTTAATGAAGGCATTAGTTTCTACGTATCTACGTAGTTGTGGATTTAAACTCTTAAAGACGAAAAAGGGAAACAACTTTACACCATCAGAATTAGGGGGGAAAAGAAATGAACAGGTAATTGAAATCAAACAAGAATGTAAGATTAGCACTAAAGTTACGAACGGAATACGAAGAGAGGATAAGCAACCAACGAATAATAATCATCTTAATTCAACTTTACATTGGTTAGTTCCTTAGAGGAAATAAGCCATCGTCATGAAGAATGCGAAATTTTGCGGCAGCTTCGCATAACGGACTCGGTTTTTGTATACGTATCACCTTTACTTTTTAAAAAACCAAATGAGAACTGTAAGATAGCAGTGTGTTCGTGCATATGCGTCGATGGTCCATTGGTATCTTATACGCATTCAACAGATGTGGACAAAACCCAAGGATCCAAATATCTCTGTTCGTTAAAAAGATACCCTTTATATCCATTGGATTAGGTAGCAGATCTCATCCGCCTACTAAGGGATAGCTCCCTCCATGTCGTAAGCCATTTTGCTGATATACTGCAGCTGTCTCTGAAAGACCCCACACACACACACTCACACTTCCCATGTATCTCACGAAATACTCCCCTATTCGACAAATTGTTTCAAGCAGTCTCTACTGAGGATATTTTCTCACCCACGGGAGGACGAAAATCCAACATCCGCGATTATAACTGAATCGGAAGTTCATCTAACGGAGTAAGCTAAAACCCCTGGGTACAAACCAAGCAAGAAGAGGTGTACGAACCGAATCCACAGCCCCCAGAGTATGATTGTGATCACTGACTTGATTGGGTTTCGAGGCGTATTGGGCACCTTGGAGGTCTGACAACGTCCGAAGAACGTATGATAAGTCAACAAAGACACCGACCTTCAACGGATTGCAGTTTTCGCACACCACCCGTGGCCCTGCAGGTCAGGCTTTGTTTCGTTATGGATATTCCGAGAAGATCCCACCCAGGAATAAATCAAGGACCTATTTCTTTGATAATAACGATTGTTGTTCGGTGATCTGTTTGACACGGCCTAAACGAAGACACATGAAATAGATCAACTTCATGGTCACAGATGAGAGTTGGGCAAATAACGGAGAGTAAGGAAGNAATGGACACATTTCAATTTCAATTTCAGTTTACACAAGTATGCGCTTTACTGCGACGGATATGATCGCTGCCTTTTGGCTACCCAGTTGGATGAAGAAGTAGAGAAGACTGAAATGAGTCCTATCGAGGAACTTTAACATGACCTATATGTTGAAATCTCCTAATCGGGATTTGCATGCCCTTATCCCAGGTTTTAGTTAAACCACTATTGACCTTCTTTCAATCACTACCTGCCTTGGCAAACGTTACATGGCGTGGCTACCTATTTGGTGAGATGTGTAACACGCACCAACCAACGTAATTTATGGAGATTCAACATTTACTCCAATATGCTACCGCGACTAACCAAAACCTTGAGCCTAACCAACGCATCACTTATCAAGTTCAGCCATAAAACTCACCTAGTGCGACGTGGACAGCGATGTCCGAAGACTGAATGTCTACCTTTATCTTGACTATAGGCGTTCGAACAACAATAAGAGACACGGCAATATATCAACTATTTCGATCTGGTTGGGTCTCATCAGCAGTGCGAATCCATCAACCTAACAAGGGACCGAACCCGGGACCTCACATGTAAAACGCGAGCATACTACCCACTCGGCCACCGGGCAGCTAATCAAACTTTTTTCATTTTCCATTTACACGATATAGCACCACCCATCGGGTTGGAATGTTTCCAACCCAAATTAGTCACGTTCAGATTTCACCCTGCTCTCGCATCGTGGCCCCGGTGTTTCCTCACCAAGCGCACTATCTCCGCTCGTGGCGATGCGGTTCTATCTCAACCATTCCGTGAATGCCGGTGTTCCTAAAGGTTCCATACATTCACCCACCCTTTTTCTTTTAGTTATGAACGACCTTTTGTCGAAAACCTCTAATCCCATTCACTGCTTTGCTGGTGATGCCACTCTCTATGGTTCTCTTTTTATCCCACAGCCCGTCAGGCCACTACAAATATCGAACACGATCGTAATGTCATTAATGTTTCTTTTGCCTCCAATTTCGGACTCATTTCTGCATGGGATTTTATCAACCATTTGCGTTTTAATGCTTACAAATCTTCTCTCTTATCCGTCCCCCTTAAACGTGTCCTCTATTCTCCTCAATTGATTTTCGACCCCTTCCACAAATCCTCTCCTCTGGATTTATCCATAAATTCTTCTCTCTATTGGTCCCCTTATAATTCCAAACTTGTCTCTCGCGCTGCGCACAAAGTCAGTTTTCTATTCCGCGCAACACGTTTCTTTACACCAAAGCACTTTCTTTTATAAAAAGTTCAAATCCACCTGTTGCTCGAATAATGCAGTCACCACAGTGATCTTCGTATTTCGATCTTTTTCTCCTCGAGCGTATTCAACGTAAGACCATCCGGTTGATCGATGAGCCGTCTTTAACTTCTAACCTGTAGTCGGTATCCCATCGCCGGGCAGTTGCTTTGTTATCTTTTTTCTATAGTTACTAATTTAGTTTCTGCTCTTCTGAACTCGTTTCAGCGGTTGTTCACCCATTGATGTTTTCTCAGGCGGGTAGTCACTCTTATCAAATTTCTACCCCTAGATATGGGACTTCTATCTTTCAATCTTCCCCCTCCCCCGGAATGCAAAACTGTGGAACACCCTTCCCATCTCCGTGTTTCCAAACCCCTATAATCTCTCCTTTTTTCAAAAGCAGGATTAACAAATTCATTCTCACTTGAATGTTTTCCACACACCGTCCCTTTACAGTATATCACTGATTATGGGGCTTACTCCTTTTGCTGTAAATCACTTCGTGCGTAATAAAAAATACCGAATCATAACTAGCTATTGCTGAGATACACAAGGTACGATGCTTGCATTAAGCTTGCAAAGAAGGATTGTGCCATATAGTGTACAAGGAAAATGAAAAATGGCATGAGCAACCGCCTGGTGGTTGGGGTCTCGGGATCGATCCCCAGTTAGGTCGATGGATACGCACTGCTAATGGGACCCAAAAAGGTTGAAACAACAGTTCAGTGCCTCCTAGCTTTTCATTTTACGCTTCATTTGCTCTTTACATGAGGAAATTCATCATATAAACAAACCAAATCCTCTATTTATCTCGTGTAATCTATCAACTCTTAACAACTACCCCTAAGAATCCGAATGATCACATCAAAATCACTGATTAACAAAACCACTTGCCGTTTATTTTCACCTGCCATTTAGTTGGGACGAAATAATTGGATGCTTTTCTCAAGTAACTCCTGTTAAGCATTCAACACTAAACCTCCTCTTGAGTACAGATGAATTACCTGGTGTTGACGGTATGTGAACACAGTGAGCTAAATATTACACACCTAGTTTTGATCCTCTTATTTGATCTCGAACGAGGATGCAATTGTAAATGGCAACAGAACATATGAACTGACAAGATCCATAGATAATATGAATGCCATGCGGCTAAGACTGAGATTGTCCAGTGCAAAGTAGAGAATGAACGATCACATTAGTACTTACCAAGCAGCTTTATTTCGTAATGTAGGAGGTTTGTAACTCCGCATTCCCAAAATCCGAAGAGCTCTGAAATAATAACAAGACGAGGAAATAAATGTTCGGACCACAACCGTTAAGTGGAGCTGATCAGTAAGAATGAATTGTACGACGAAGATTAAAAGCGGACTATCTCTGTGTTGGAACAGTATCATTAACCTGCGTTTTACCAGAGGGGAAAAATAACTGGTAACAGGGATCACATCTGACATGATTCGGCAGCAAGGAACGGAACCCGATGGGTACACTTCTAGCAGAGATTTGGACCGATTAATTATCAAAAATGAGAGCGCAAGTAGTTACGACAGCGTATTGATTATGGCCAAAGGAATTTAAAACAGAACGACCGGTGATTAACCCAAGCTTCACCCCCCCCCTCCACCTCTGTGTTTAAAGATAATGCATATCTACGTTGGGTGACAACTATGAGTAAAGTTCGGTTCATCGTACCTCTAAGTGGAATCAAGATGATGAAGGAAAAATTCCAAAATCGCATGGTGCATTTTATGAGTGCAAACTAATGGGTATTGAAGTGAGTATTCTATCAATTGCATACAACAATTAGTATACAGTCAGGATGAATTATCCAGGCTACAACTTTCGTTGACTGAACAATTATCGGGGACCGAATATTATTAACTCGACCAGAAAAAATGGTGTACGCTTTCTTGAATCAGCTTATTATTAATTTGCGCACTTAAAGAAAACGAAACATAAAAGATTCGTCACTTAGCTTTAAAACTTTTGATATACGGGGAACAGAAATTCACGATGACACATTAGAACAATAGGATTTTAATCTTTCCGTGATAATAAACGTTCCAGTTCTAACCATGAGAGAAACGAGGAATGTGAGTAGGAGAGTTAACGATTATGATTTGAAAGATCAGTGATGTGTTATTTTACGAAATACGATGGTTAATTTGTTCAAAATCACAAGCGATCAATTAGGCCGTCGAAATTGCGTCAGAAAAATGAGCATAATAGTCGTTCAGCTCAAATATCACATGATCTACCTCATAGGATGTAAATCAAACAAAGGTGGTTGGAGTTCGGCATACTCCATCGCAGTGATACCCAGTGCCCAAATATCGCACTTCTCATCGTAGCCTCCTTTGCGTTCGACAGCGGCAACTTCAGGGGCCATCCTGGAAAACAAAAATTCACGAATCAATGTGAGCTGACTACACACAAAAGGGACCCAGTAGCATGAACAACATGGTCAACGGGGTTTTGAGTAAGCAAAGAGTATGTAAGTCATGGGGATAATGTGCTACCGTGACAGATACCGAAGGAAGTTGCTTTTTTCTTTCTCTGACAGATTTGGTCACAGTTTTCTTAAATTTATTCAATGCTCCAAAGAAAACTGAACAATTTGTTCGGTTCTAATAATGCTCACGTGAATCGCGGCTGGTCCTAAGGAGAATTGGCCTCGTAGTTCACATTGTGGGTGAATTTCGATTTCTTACACCCCTCGAGAGTCCCTAACAGTAGAAGGGATGAATTCTAATGACGAGAAATTGGTACTTAGTTATCAAAATTACCCACCTAAGCCGTGGCACTCAGAGTGATATGCTACACGGGCACCAATCGGAGGGTGCCAGCGAAGCTGTCTACGACTAAAAGTTGGGAGGTCGGGTTTAGCCCGGTGCATGGCACTGACAGAAAAATGAATTGCTCAAACATCATCATAGTCGTTAATATAGGTGAAAACGATAGACCTGTAGATATAGTCTTGTTTCCAAAGGGATCAAGCATTTGTTTTACTCGGACGTGAATCCTGTCTACTCACTGTGTTGAAACCAACCAAAGCTGTTGATGTCTTACTACTAGAATATATGAAAAGCTTCTGACAAAAGCATGGGAATTATTCGAAGTGAAGATCTACTGTGGTCAATAGAAAATAGCTCCATGGAAAAGCAAAATTACCAGTAAGGCGTGCCAATAAACGAATTCCGGCGTTGAATGGTTTGTGTGATTTGCGCAGCCACTCCGAAATCAGCTGAAAAGGAACAGACAGACGACATTCACTGTAGCAGTCACTTTATTAGTATATACTGCTGGCTGGCATGAAGTGCCTTGTGTATTAGTTAGTGAACATATAAAGCTCTACGAACAAGCTGTTACTATGCAATATGCTGAATTCTTTGTAAAAATGATGGAAACAGACACTAAACCCCTGGATTACTCGACCCTCATAAGTGTAATGACAGATTTTAAAGGCGGCAACGCAAGCACATTTTGCCACTACTTCACTATTTTGCTAAGCTATTTGCTTCGTACCGTGCATATAAAGCCCTCCTGACAGTGCGTACCGTTATATTCACAACAGTGTATAATTTGGGCTCTTGTATAAGCAAAATACTCGCGTGAGGAAGGTTTGCAATAACATAGTGATCGAAAAGAAGCCTTTTCGTTACGCCATTCTGACGTCTCTTCAGAGCAACATAGTGATATATATATATATATAAACCACCCTGGAACAAAAAATCCACGGCCAATCCCCATCCTCTACAAAAGATTTTCGCAGTACCTCCACTGCCGAACGTCACGCAACAACTACAACCGGATATTAACGCAGTATTCCTGTAAAAGCTTAAATACGACTTTTTGTTACCATTAAAAGGAAGATACCATCAAGGATACCTAAACAATACCAACAGAAGTATTGTGTTCTTTCTCCTGGGGTTCAATGCAAATGGAACACACTAGTATCTCGTAGAGCGGTCGTCCCGTTTCAAAACCTCAATACATCTTTTACGCATGCCCTCTACGAAGTTCCGGAATTGTTCGTTGTCAATAAAGTGGTTGGTATTTTAGAAGGGACAGTAATTTATCTTTCAATTTATTCATTCTCGAATCACGATACACCCTCTGAGTTGTTAGCTGGGCTGAGACGTGAGTAAGATGTAGGTTACGCCATATATTGGATAATGTAGAATATTGAGCTACGGATCAAATGTGATTAGTGGAGTACGGTCAACGTTCGACTACTCCAGACCATTAGCAACAATAGACAGCATTCTGATATACGAATGTCTACATTCCGATCTTCAATAAGTTGCGTTCGTCCGACACGTTTAAAACGAGTTTCTTTTTACTAATGAAGTAAACGCAAATCTATTTATCGGGCAACGTAACGTGACTTTCAGCAAACAATAAACGGACATCTATTGGAGGTACCGTGAGCTGTAGTCTTTTTTCACCTTGTGGATAATCGACCAAAAGTCCTCGGCAGGTCATTAGATGGTTCGAATTGAAACATTTAGTCCAAGGAGACTTTTCATTTGAGGCATAACTCCTGGAATTTGAGACCCAACTCTCTAACCTGCGTTTACATTTCACCTAATGTTGTCGGGAGAAGCCAAGTAGCTTCCTCTTTTCATTTTCCATGATCACTCGAACCAATGGAGCATCTCATGTAACACTGCACTGCATTTCATATTACGCTTCAGTTCGCTTTGTAGCGTAATATTGGGGAGTTTTTGACAGGTGAGTTCTAGGGCAATCTTTCTCACACATCTAGTGTGGCAATCACGAAGACCGCCCCGGAAATATCCAAAAACTATGTCGCCATACGCCGTACAAACGTGCAATATTTTGTTGCAGTGTCATTCTCACATTTTGACCATATTTTGTCTGTATTGAAGCTAAGAGGTAGGAATTTCATATTTCGGCTTATACTTGACTATCATCATGATAACCAAGTATTTATTGTGGCTTGCCCAGACGTGGAGGTACTGCGTAAACCTACAGGAGGTGCGAAATTTTTATCGCGCAGTTTATATATATATATATATATATATATATATATATATATATATATATATATATAT